GTTGAGATCTGATCTTTCAGTCATTGAAGCCAGGTCCAGTGGGTATTATCTGCAAATGTGGGTGTTCTTATTCTTATGTCATCTCTTCTTATCAGCTAGATGATTCACTCTCCACTCTAGTCCTCTGTGGCTATGTCACTGACTCTGGGCCCAAGAGTCGCAGGTCTTGCCACACTGCTGGCCGACCAGGTCTTCACCTGGGTTCACAAGAATCTATTGAACGTTGTAGGGCTTAGCTCTCAGTTTCATTGCTGTTTTCCCCTTACTTTGCCTTATTGATGATGAATGTGGTCACCAATCAAAGCATGTATTCCCATTGAGTCTTGCCTTGGAAGGGTTTTGCCCTGAGGGGACCCGACCACTTGCCTTGATGTTTCCTGGGTGAGCAACTTGCTTGTTCTTGTAATAATCAGTCTGACTGCCTATATTGTTTTGTATTTCTCCTGTGGGTCCTTCTTTCAATAAGTATCTTCTGTTCTTCTAGCTGCTCCAGGCTGGTCTGCTTGTCCTTTCAAGTGGAAATTTCCCACCTCTGAAGATTCTGGATGCTGTTCAGGATTTCACCTAAGGTTGTATACTGTTCCTAAGAAAAGTTTAGTCAGTTCCTTTCTTTTCCAATTACATGCATAACCTCTGACATTTCCAGAGTGTGTTAAGACATGGCACTGTCAGAAAGAGCAGAAGGTCAGTTGAGTGCAGAAAATGGTAATTACCTAATTCATTTGGTGACTCCTTAAATTTTTATCAAACAACTTCATTTCTGATTTTAAAGGTATGCATGCTTTTTATAGAGATTTGCAAATAAAAAGTATTAAAAATATTTGCTTATGATCAAATTAGCTATGTATTTGCAGGGCCCAGTGTAAAATGAAAATGAGGGGCTCCTTGTTTGAAAATCATTAAGGATTTCAAGGGGGCCATCAAGTTGGCACCAACTCATAGCCACCCTATGCACAACAGAAGGAAACACTGCCTGGTCCTGTGCCAACCTGACAATAGTTGCTACCTTTGATCTCACTGCTGCTTCCACTAAGACAATCCATCTCGCTGGGAGTTTCCTCTTTTTCTACAACCCTCCACTCTACCAAACATGACATCCATCTC